CAGATTTAAGCTGATAGCCCTGATTCTGCTCCAAAAACTCCTGGTACAATATAACTTTCAATGTCATCAGGTTTGTCTGTGTGTTAGGAGGAGGGTGGGGGTGGGGGCTGAGATTACCGTGAATGTCACCCTACCTCCTCTCTCAATCATCCACTTTCAATCCAGTGCTGTCCGGTGATGATGCTAGTAAAATGGGATCAATAGCATAGGGAAAAATGGACCAGACAATCTCTTACCCCCTTGAACGTCTGCACCCGTGATTGATTTGTCCCCTGCCACAGCAGAGGAGACATTAGAGACAAGAAACATGTGTGTGGCCACATGTGTGTGTGTGTGTGTGTGTGTGCACCTGTGTACTTGTGTTGAAAGCATATTTTTGTAAAAGCGTGGTGTCTGCGTGTGTGCTTGCACTCAGTGATTGATGATCTGAAGCACGCACACATCATCAGCAAGGCATTTGCGAGGTGTGTGAGTCAGGAGCTGTCAACCCCCTCAGTCTCCCCAAGCAGAGGCCTCGGCTGCTGATTTATAGTAAATCATTAAAATCTGCTTATTATTGCAGCAGCTCATCGCCCTCCCTCCTCCCTCAATTCCCATAACCACCCCTCCCCCCCCAAAAAAAAATCTTGCCACTCCACTGCAGAGACACAGTGAGAATATCATCTGACCAGCTAAGTGACACTAACTTATACACACTGAGTGATGGTCAGCAGGTTCTGGCACATCAAATCCATCTCTGATGTGTGTTTGAAAATAAATACCCCAGATGTCTTGTTTCATAAGCATCGGCTGAAGAAGCCAGTGAAGCTGGCTGTGTTCCTGAAGAACAGCTGAACACAGCTGGAGCAGAGTGGACGTAGGCCTTATCCACAAAGCAAGGAAGAAACTTTATTTCATGGTCCACTCGTGCTCACATGTGCATAAGCACACACACTCCTGCACACCTCTTCTGTCTTCTGTCTATGAAACTGAAAATGTGATGTGACTTGAACAATGACAGGTGTGTTTGTCAAGGATGCGGACGTCACTTCAAATCAATGGACGGGAGGATTTTCCCAGGGAGACTTTCCACTTCTTAGGATTTGAGTGGTTATACTGCACTTCAGTGCAAGTTGTAGAACAGTAAGTTGTCAAAGTGACATTCAGGGAGCCTCTGTTTAGGTGTCATCAGATCAAAAACGAATTTATAGAAGCAAATTTTTTGCTTTTATTTCATCAGGAAACTGTGTACAGCTTGGAGCGGCCATGATATACTGACTCATGAGGTGAAAAAAGAGCATCTATCCATCTGAAGATCGTTAGCATGAACAAACCCAAGAATCACTGTTTTAGAGACATACTATTCAAGCAAGTTGTGTAGGGCACAGAATAAAATGATGATAATCATTTCCACTGAATAACTCAAGGGAGAATCACAGCTTGTCTATTGCCGCTTTGCGGTGCGTGGTTTGTCAAATGCTTTTCAATTACAGCCTTTAACTTGAGGCACTATCACATCCCCATGAAGTGATTTTAATGGAGTTTGGTGCAATTGTTTGTTATGCGAGACAGGTCTTTTCAGCAGAAAGTGAGAAGGGAGAGAGAGAGAGAGAGAGAGAAGGGCTGAAACTCAAATGAACTTTAGGTGATAACACGACACGACTGGCTGAGCAGGGGAGTAGCTGTGGGCTTAAAGCTAGTCACTTCCTGTCACTGGTATTTAACTGAGCATGTGTATTGTACAATATCAGGTGGGGGATGCGGGGTTTGTTTCTTACATCTACACCTAAAACTCAAAACATGGGTGTTGGCATCTTATTTGGTAGATACAGCATTCTGGGGCCTGATTGCTGTCTCCAATGCCCTGAATTACTTGGTCCTGTCCCACTTTTCTCCTCCAACTCACCCTCCCTTCCTTTTTCTCCTCCTTGACACATACAGTGTAACAGCCTCATCTCCAGTCTGTCTCTAAAGCTCCTGGATCCTTGGAGCACAGGTGCAGGACTGCAGGGCTACAGCCCACAGGCCCTGGATGCTGAAATGGGAGAGGTGCGCCGGCACACATGCAGAATTACTTCGCCTCCATTTCTCACACTGACATAATCCCCATGTTTTATTTGTCCCCTTGTAATTCTTTTTATATCTTGGGCTTATGTTCATTGGCAGCCGTTCAATCCCAGCCTCGGGACACGGGGCTCTACCAGGCCTATATGTGTGCCTTGCACTAGTTAACGCATATTAGTTCCTTTGTAACTGTGACTAAACTGGCAGGTCTCAGCTGGGAGATGCGCCGGTTTTGACTGACAGCCCATGTCTGGATCCTGTACTTTGAGGCTCACGCAGACTTGTCAAACACGGGCTCTGTCAAAGCATCTCTCACTCTTCTGTCGAGCACAGGAACCACAGAGAGCTGCAGATGGTTCTGACCGCATGTCTCTGAATTACCTTACAATCTGTGTGTATGTGTCATGTGTTGTGTTACTTTTGGAAAAAAAAACAGTGTTTCAGAAGCATGTTCCTGGCATGTTCCTTCTTTTCCTCAGCAGAGAATGCCCTAAGGGAAAAACTAAGTGAAACATTTTCCATGCTTGTGTTTTGGCAAGATTGCTTGCAAGAAGAAAAAAAAGGGAGACTTGTATACACTGATCAGATCAGTCACTAAAATTACATTGAGAAAGCTTTTCCAATAACAGCTTGATATTAGGACTTCAGTGTTGTGTTGATGTATGTTGTCGGCAGAGAAAATCTGTTAAGTCTGTGCCATGTGATGCCAACAGTCTTAAATATTGTTTTCACAACTGTGCAAGCTAATTACCTTTAATTTTTCATCTGTGCTCCAAGGGTTGTAAGAGACTGTGATTAGTGATTCATTACTTCTCATTACCTGGCCTGTCAAACTGTTTCCTTTACTTATTCAGGCTGATTAGCTGTACATGGCCCGCCTCTCTCAGTGAGGCTGAGAAAGAGACCTCAAACATGGTCTGCAGATAAGCATCTGTAAATTGTAATAATGATGAGGAGAGTAATAATGAGGGGACGAGCACAGAAAATGGAAAACAGGATGTTATGTTTACAGCTAATTAGTGTGTTTTAAATGTACATCTTCAAATCATTATGTCACTTAACTTCAGTTAATAATGACACAATTCTGATGGGAGGTCACTGAATAAACTTCATGCCAGGAGTCTGCAAAAGTCAGTCAGTCTGCCTTTTCTCCAGAGAATGGTTATTTATAGGTATCAGAGAATGAGGATTGATTTACTGCAGGTAAACAGGGTGTCATTCTTAGCAAAAGGTCAAGGTGAGCCAAAGCTAAGATGGATAAAATACTGAAATCTGGCATCTGTGTATTTTACTTATCTGTCAGACCAGCAAGCACATGACCTGTTAACATATAAAACTGCCAATTTTTAAATGAAGACAAGAGGCAAAAAGTCCTTAAGTTCAGATATAAAACAACACTGGGAAGTATGAAATAAAGTGGACTGAAAGATGGGTCCTTACGCAGCTGCAAAAGGCCTGAGTGTGACACTGGTTATGGTAGTGAGGCGTTAACTAAAACATTCATCACCATTAGGAGTAATTAACAAACCCCAGGATTAATTAAAGGGCCTTGCTTTAAGGGAGACTGTGCTTAATTAGGAAGTCTGATAGGATGAGGCCTTAGGGATGATCTATATCCAGAGGGCTGTTAGAGGAGTAAGTGACAAAGCTACAAAGTTGTGAGCTTCTGCAGCACATCCTCCTCTTCACCACTACACCCTGCGCATTTGGTCAACTCACAAGATGGTCTGGTCTGGTGTGACTTGGCATGGCTCTGAAAACCTATTGACTGGTATGACAGTTCCTCTGAGCGGCCAGTCAGCTGAAGGCCCAGACCTTGTCACCTGTCAGGTAAAGAGATGAAGGGTGAGTGAGCAGAGGAGGAGGAAGAGGGCACAAAAAAGAGAGGAAAGAAAGGACTGGTGACAGTGCAATTCAGCGCTGATGTGATGCACAGAAATACATGAAGCAGCTATAAAAACCACATGTATCTCAGGCTTGATTCACCTGCAGAAGTGTTTGTGAAGCACTCCATTACAAAAACCAGAGGGTCTGAGGATGACAAATGTGTACCCAAAGAATCTGTGATTGGATCTGGGATTAGGGGGCTGCCATGTCTCTGATGGGAAACGGGCAGGAGACAGACAGACAGAGAGCAGAGGAAAGAGAGAGTGAAGGGAAAGAAGACTTGAAAGGAGGACAGTAAACGAATGTCAGACTGCCCAGGCAGCAAGACAGAGTGGCAGAGTGGGTGGGCTTTGACAGACACATCTCACACAGGCTGACAGCTCCGTCAATAGCCTCAGGATGGCTGCCCTGATTGACAGCTAGCAGGTGGCGCATGAATGGAGTTGTCAGGCAGACTGTCAGTCAAAGCCACATCATGGTGGCTACAAGGCCCTGGCAGAACAAACAGGACACAGCTGCCCAAGGTGATCTCTGGGCGCACAGGCAGACTACTGGCACAAGAGGCTAAAGCAGCTCAGATCATGCTAAAATTACCATACACGGCTATAGCAGCATACAGTAGCTGTGTTGACTGGACCTGTTTTACACTAGTGGGTAGACCTGATATGTAAATGGTTCCCCTTAATTGAGCATTGTTCCAGGATGAGGGCATGAAGCATAGGAGTTAATGGGCAATAATTATATGTGAGAGAGGCTTTCTCCCTGGAGTGGGATCTAGAACAAATGGAAGCTCCGATGTGCAACATTCTACTTCATTACATCTGCCGCGATTAAAGTCCGAACATCTGGCACCACATCCTGACAGATAGACAAGATTTCTGGACTGGAAGGGAAATGGAGCGATATTTACAAAAATGTAACACAGGGTATTTACTGGATGAAAGAACAAGCGCTTTGGGCAGGCATGGTACATTCTCTCTGTCAGACAAGTGTTGAACTGATAGATGAATGTAAACACAAGTAAATCGTTTGACACTTATGACAAAATGAACTGCACTAAGTATCCCCACTACACCTTCACATCACAATGGACTTTATTGTTATTATAGGCAGCTTCTTTTGCTACAGATAAATACATACTGTGGCTCTTCAAGTAAACACTGGAATGTACATCAAGGTTGGTTGTTAATGTTTTCTTTCTTTCTTTTTTTTTTTACAATCTCAATCATCCTAACTCCGTTGAGGTGAAGCTAAAACAATAATTGTAACTGTCTGTATCTGCTGTTGCCATGACAACATCAAGTCCCACAGAGTGATGTCATGCTGATCTGGTCTGTCCCTGGCACGTGGTCATCTCCTGTTATGCTCTGAGGCAATACGGAGAGCCTCTGGGGCGGGTGTGAACGTCGGAGGCGGCGGTCAGGGTAGAGGCTGTTGTCAAAGGGCTTGCGGTGGACACAGAGGACGTGGGTCTTCAGGTTGCCCTTCTGGGATGCACTGTAGGGGCAGTATCTGCACTGGAATGGCTTCCGAGCTGGAAAAAAACGAAAGAAGATAGGGAAAGTCGAATTAATATAGATAGGGATATTAATATAACCATTACAGGGTTTTAAATGACCGGCTTCTTCTGGATGATTTTAAAGATGATGACATTTTACAGTTGCAGTTACACTCCTGCAATGAAACTTTGTCCCAATTGAAATCAGAGCAATTCAAACCCTCTGGCTCTAGACAAAATGTAGCAGAACAGGTTTCTGTTCATCAAACAGTTTTGTCAAAATGGGCAGGATGAGACTGAGTTCTGTTAAAAAAACAAACAAAAAACAACATATGTCTATAATTCTGGGTATCAAATACAATCCTTGTCTGATTGTTCTTCTGGCATTCTAAACCAGATGGTGTCAGGTAAGCAGTTAAATCTCTCATACATTTAGAGTTTCAATGGGGTTTGAAAACATTTTCCATTAGTTAAACTGTGCTAAAGGGTCATTGTAACATATTGCCTGCCCACAACACAAATGCAGACACACACACAGACAAATAAACATACACACACAAGGGCTGAGTTGAGGACTGACAGACATCTGCAGCTGGGAGGCAAAGCAGGCCAAAACTTCCTGTCTGTCCCTCTCTTTAGTGTCAACTACAAAACCCCTCTACAAATAATGAGAACTTACATGACACAGCACAGATTGTACATTAGGGAACAAACAACAAAGCACACTGTTAATAGCTTACAGAAGTTTATCTGAGTTTATCTAAAACTGCACTGGAGGACTCCTTTACCTTCCTACCTAGACAGTCATGTGTCCTTGTTCACTGCTGGGCTATTTTTGAGATGTTACCTCATATAATGACTTTCACTTTTCCCCTGTCTAACACTTCAATGTGTTTTTCTGTGATTCATGGTTACAGTAAACCATTATGTGCTGATGTCATTTGACATCACTTCCCAAAAACTGAGGGCTGTCTTGGGCTTTTCACCCCACCCTCGCCTCTTCCTCTCTATCATGCTCCTCATCAGAGCCGAGACAGCTGCACGCAGCTGAACACTTGCTTTCACATCTACATAAAAAAGGTGTTTTGGGGGGGGGGAGAAAAGTGGGAAAACTCACAGAAGGTGTGAGCAATAAAAGGTAATGCTCCATCTGTTGGTGAATAATAACCTGATGGCCATAAAGGACACACACACACTAGTCAGAGAGAGGATAATGCCTGACACATCTGAATATCATCAGGATGGCACAGAGGGGTATGTGTGTGACTGTGTGTGAGAGTTGGGGCAAGGGAGGGGGAGCTGTCTGGGGGGAACAATAGTAAAAGAAAAGCTTTGTCAAAATCCAGGTATAGAGTAGTTTGTGTTTGGTGTTAAACTCCACCCGTGTCACTGCAACTTTCCTCAGCCTCAGTCAATGCAAGTGGATAAACAGGAAGTATGGGCGAATGGCAAAAAAAATGCATGTTGAGAACTGTAAAGCTGTCACTGCAGTTTCCCCAGTTTCACACCTCCATTGTGACTTGATAAACAAATTTCTCTCAATCTTTTCATGAAGCCTAAAGCTCCTACGTCAGTTGCTTGTTGCCCTGCTGTTCTCCACCTCTCTGCCTCGATTGCCTTGCTTTCCCTCCCTCATTCTTGTCTTCCAGGTTCGGCTGCTCCTTCTTCACTCCCACTGGAGGAGAGGGGAGGTCCAAGAGAGGGCGACCTCCAAATAAGTTCCATTAATCACAGGCCAGAGTCTAATGTAACTAATATTTTACAATTAGAGGAGACAGCATAGGGCTCAGAGCCATCCATCTCTTCACCACATGATCCTCCATTCATAGGCTGCTCTAGCCACAGCTTCGGATCAGCCGCACACACACACAAATAAACACACATGCACATACATGTGTGCACTCGTATACATGCACATTTCCACAGACACACAAATAAACTGGACAGGAAATTTGGGGGGGTTTGAGAGAAAGACTAAAGATGTGCCAATACTAAATGAAAAACAGAAAGAATAATTACTGACTTTTACTCTTTATGATGCTTGAACTGTACTAAAGGATTATTCCACTTTATTATCTCTTGGGTCTTAGGTTTGGCTATCACTTTCCTTTGTTACGATTAAACTGTAACAAGCAAACTAATTGGTGAGCACACAGTGCAAGAAACACCAGCAGGCAGACTAGCAGACAGCTTATGAACACACTAACCTACTGTAAGTTACTTTAAAAGCTGTTTGATTATTTGAGCTTTGCCTCCTCAGGTTTCTTTTTAGCATATTCACCACCAAGAAGTCGTCAAGCATGCCAACTTCAAACTTGTTGTTTTTACACTTTGGCTTTTGTACTAATTACACAAACAAGATACAGCGTGTTAATTATGGATGAAATTTGTTCCTTTTTGACAGAGCCAGGTTAGCTGTTCCCCCTGCTTCTAGTCTTTGCGTTACAGTAAGCTAAGATAACTGTCTCCTGGCTATAGCTTCATATTTGATCAATCTTCTCACCTAAACTCTGAAAGAAAGCGAAGATGGATTTTTCTCAAAATGTCAAACAACTGAATCAAGAACAAATGTGTACTCTTTCATCAAGTAGGGCTGAAATCTCAGTATTGCTTTGGTACTGACTGAAAACTGCAAAGCTGCCATCAAATGTTCAACCATATTTTTTAGACATTTTATTTTGCTTTAGTCCGATTCTTAATAATTTTGACAAATCTAGGCTGTTTCACTTATACAAAGACATAGTTTAGACAACTTTTAACATTTGAGAAACTTAGCTTCTTTTGTTGATGGAAAAGTATTTTAATGTAAAACCTGCTTAAATTTCACAAAGGGATGGAAAAATAATGTAATGGCACAGAAACTCAATTATAACATAAACACTATTACAAAAAAAGTCAAAGGTTGTCCAACCTATGAGCATATTTACATGAGGTTGTACACATGTTTATGTTTGCACCTACATGAATGTATTCCAGTGTGCGTGTGTGTGTGGTGAGAGTGTGTGTTGTGTGTCACAGGCTGAGATAATGACCATGATGACAGTGGCGGGGCCGAAGGGGGCCAGAGGAGCTGAATGGTGACGGATGACACAGGCCTGAGCGCTGATGGCACACAGACAGTGAGTGATGACTACACATCCTTCCCAGTGCTCCACCCTTCATTATCTCTATGGGGAGAAGCATGACACAAAGGCAGGCTGCGCTGCCCTCTCCCTGCCCTCAGACGACATCTGCTCATGGAGCGAGCTGCACTATACCTCTCCTCTTTCACCTCGCTGTCGCTCCATCTATCTCCATCTATGATGATCTTACTCTTTCCTTTTCTCTCACTCGCTTCACCCTCTCTGCAGAGGGTATGGAGAGGTCAGACAATGAGATAATGACTCACGCCTTTCAACCTTTCAAATCAGGGCCTTTTCTTTCTCCCTGTCCTCTGTGGTCTTTCATTCTTAATCTTTTCTTTATCGATCTTCTCATATTCACTTGTTCTCATTCATCTGAGGGGCCTGATCTAATGTCACAGAAGTGATCATTTATTTAGCTGACCGGTTAACTGGTTTAACAGTTAGGTAATATTATAGTACTCCAGGCTACAGTGGTGTTACATGACTGCAGTAGTGAAATACGAATGCATGCCTTACTGCCATGTGAAGAAATGTTGAGAAACTACACGGGCATCTATAGTTTTAAGTATCTAATGTTGCCATCTAGTGGTTCAGTCTGAGCAGTACAGAGATGAGAGTCGCTGTCTGTTTAAAACACAAGGGAGGGCTCAGTGAGACTAATGAGCATGCAGACAGGTTCAACCAGAGGTCACCATCTGGCCAATTACCACTGTTGGCACACTGGAGCCGACCTGAACTGTCATCACAAACACATCACTCCATGTCCAAACTGTCCGGCAATATGTCACCGTGCCACTCGATGTGCCATACAGTATGGAGAGGAAGGGGGCAACAGGAGACAGCCCCATGACAAAGCCACCTGGTCAGCACTGCAGACAGGACAGGCTGCCGGACCACCTGCTGTTCAGTTTTAGAGGACACTCAGTGGACTCTCAATGTCAGTTGCCCGTCTGAATGTCCAGTGTGACTGACAGGTGTTTATTGCGTCTCTGACATCTACTTCCTCGGGGAGAGAGAAAGAAATATGGAAGATCAATCTGCAGCAAACAAAAGACAAGGAATGCTTGAAATAACTCCTTGCAACTAACAGCACATTGATCAGATTGCTGTAGGATACAAGAAATAGGTGTAGTAAAATATGTTGTATTTGAGGGAGAAGTGTGGTTTCATTGTGTCAGTTGTTCTGAGATTTCTTGTGAAAATTGTTCAAAGCAAGTCCAAACTGCCAGCATTTCTAAATCCTATCTCATTTTTCAATTCAAATAGCATTATATACAATAAAAGCAAGAAAGAAACATGAGCAGTGTGACAGCTCTGACAGGAGCTGAAGGGGAGGGCTGCTTTTCAGCATATTATAATAACCATCTGTACAATCAAATAGAAAACTACATCTTGCTGTTAGAATCATAAAAAAGGGAACAGATGTTAATCCCTAATGGAGTTGACAGGCACTTTCCTGTCTTTCACATGAACATATTGAGTTTCTGAATAATATGGGGATCAGAGGGAAGGTGTATCATGTTGCACTCATAATACATGCATATCAAAGACCCCAGCTGTTCGATTCCCTCTCTTGAGAGACAGCAGTATTAAACCTGCACTCAGCAAGCATATCACACCAGCACAAGAGCTTAAGCCTCTCCATCAGAGGGCTCTATTGGCTTGGGCGATTTGTAACCTATCACACAAGGAGATTATATCATCCTTTAAAGTGTAGGGGTAATCAGTGCCACACACCTGTGTCTTCTTTAGCCCTTATTTGAGATCAAAGATAAGATCTGGCAAGAAAAAAACTAAAGTGCTATAAGTATAAGGGAAGTGTGTTGTTCGTAATTGGCGTGATTCATTCACACACTCACACTCACTCTTCGCACTTCCGCTGTCAGGTGATAAGGGCTGAGAAACTGTCAAAAACTTTTTTGGGATTTTTATAGCAGTATCCTTATGGCTGACAATGTCACAAATTGTTACAAATGCACAACCAGTACACTAGTAAGTCAATTATATATAGAATTAAGTTAATGAATTGGGATGTTGTTATATTCTCATCTGCAGTGGTTTGCTACATTCAGATGGGGGGGTACTGAGCATCTGAAGGGCGATAACAAGCTGGTAGAAAGAAGGACTGGTCTTTGTCCACTAGGTGGCAATAGATGCTTTCAAATATGGAAGGAGTGCTGGCTACATCTTGATAACAGTGACAGCTGTATTTAACATATATGATACATCAGCTGGTGCTCACCTGAAGCAACATCTTTCTCCATACTCCCCCCACCATTCAAACTGGCTTTCTGTGCGCTGGCAGGTGCACTGCTCAGGTTCCCCTGGGATCTGAGGAAGGAGAACAGGCCGCCTTGATGCTGGAGTGGATCAGCCTGTCCTGGAGTCAAGTTCTCCAGAGAGGAGACGGGAGAGTCAGTCATAGCTTTGCCCCAAGGGCCCGGCTTGTCATGCTTTTTCTCGCCAGGACCCTGGAAATCAGCGCTGGCCTGTCCCAGCTCCTCTGGTTCCAAGACATTATTTTTCATTATCTTCCACTTGGCATCATCATCTTTTTTGTCCGCCCTCCCATGCTCAGATTTCTCAAATTCAACATCACCATTGTGACATGTGGAGCTTGCATTCTGTGCGTTCATCTCTTCTTTTGTTCCCTCCACCAAAAGGTCACACTGGTATGCAGGATTCACACCGAGTTGAGCCGCGGCAGCAGAGTAACTTTGTAACCGGCGAGAAATGGAGGAGGAGAGTCCATTACTAAAAACACCAGACATCTGTACCAGCACAGCGGGAGACATGGCTGAATGAGGTGTGACAGACTCTGGCCTGACAGACAAATCTAAGGGCTCATACTGAGACTTTCTGGTTTGAGCAGATAAAGAACCTTCTACCCCTGCATCTTTGTCAGTGAGGTCGGACTGCTTGTTGATGATCAGGGGGTTTTCACTGTGGTTCTCCAGGCCGAGGTAGTGACCTCCAGCAGGGCTCCAGTCTTCCCTGGATCTGGGTCTGAGTTTGGGGTTGGGGCTGGGGCTGGAGCTGCTGCTGCTGGTGGTGGGCTGCAGTGGAGAAGAAAGATCCCTGCTGTTCTGCCAGTGGGAGAAGTGGTAACTATCCAGATGGAAGCCAAGGGAGGGCGTCTGTGCAGAGGTGTAGTCGCTGGAGACTGGACACCTGTAGACTTTCTCACCTCCTGTACCACAGACAACAACAATAATGCAATCCAAATCAGATTAGGAAACTACGTATATGTATATGAGGTATACTGAGGACTTTGTTCTGTGAATAGCATGTACCAACAACTGTTGTCTAAACATGAAAAATGTTGCAATCCTCCACCAGGCTGAGTTGAATGATTTAAGCGCTGCCCTGCAGTAAATCAAGCTTGTAATCAGCTTTCAGCTCTAGTGATCCATCATTTTATAGTATGGACGCCACCACCATGTGCAATAAATACACCCAAAGATGTTAACACCAAACAAGATTTTTACAGAAATAATAAGCAGTGAAATTGTAAAGCAACCAGAACAAGGCAGATGTCGCAGACAAAAACCTCATTCCATCAAAACCAGTAAGTGGGATTCCCAGTCAAAAATAACCAAGTCCAACATGTGAGCAGTTCTGATGAACCGCCTGCTGGAGCTGAGTTTATTTTCGCTTCGTACTTGAAAAATGGTGTGATGGGAACATAATTCAGAAAGTACAAAGTGTATTATTGTGGAGAATGACAATGGGTAATTTTTTGCCTTTTAGCCAATGAATAATATCCATCTGGATACAACATTTGATCCTGCACACCATAACTTTTAATTAAAGGTGATTCCGATGTTTTCTTCCCTCTGTTTACCTATGGTTTAGCTATCACAGAAACACCCTTCAGGGTTAAACACACTCCCTGTGACCATTTTGAGTTAGTGATTGTCTGAGACCTCAGCCTTGCACTGTCTTTAAACAGCCCAGCTGTTTCGCTGCCATTCCAATTACAGTAAAAGTCATCCGATGCCATTAAGCCACAAATATTGGCAGTTTATTGCCCAACACTCTCCTGGCATTTGAAGGTCAGGTCATACATTATACTGTGTCTTTTAGGGATGCGTCTGGAATAGGGAGATAAACCCACCACCATTAATTTAATTCTATGCATATTGATGCCTTATTGTTCTTCTTTAATGGACTAATATCTGAGTTACAACAGTGATTCATCCCCGCCAGAGAAATATCAATTTCATATACCTCAAGATCTGACCCTGAGGTAATTCTCTGAGGTAAATGTAAATCTAACGATCTGTACTTGTTACTCCACTTTATTTGCTACTTTAATTGAAAACCACCAAAGTTAGACATTTTTTTTATTTCACATGTAAAAAAGAAAGAAAACATTAAATCGCACCCATGTCACTAAAGCTGAACGTGAAATTAAAAATCACAGCTGAAATGACAAGTCCATGTCCTTGAACTAGACATTCCTATTTGCACTACACACTGTATATGTTTGTCTGTGTGTGGGTCTATAGTGTGTACAGTATATTTGATTTATTGCCTGCCTACACTACATGTGCAAGACCGGGAAAGACACTTCAACAATGCCACACCCTTGTCTCCAGTAACAGCCAAAAAAATCTAAACAGCTTAATGGAACTCTTTCAGACACAATATATATCTCAATTATTCTGTGGCTTAAATTACGATGACATTACCGGCCAGCTCCAAATGCAGAAAACACATATATCTGACCTCATCTTTCAGCGTGGACCTTCCTAAACCCATTTGCCAGCCTACATGAGAGCGGTAAAACAACACAAAGACTGAAGACTTCTGCCTTTTTTCTCTTCCTTTGGATGGGTGCCATCTTTGTGATTGCCTGGTTCATGCTAACTTAATCAGTTTAAGATTTACTTACACTGCCGAGGCTCACATTATGTGAGGGGAGTAATTTTAGAGCTTAGATTTATCAACCAAAACTCCAATTACTGCATCATTACAAACCCCAGCCTCTCTCACCTAACACAGAGCATCTAATGAAGTGATGCGTATGAGTTATCCGCCCTTACTGGATGTGCAAGGCGGAGGAAAAAAGGTAAATAAATAAATATAAGCCTCAAGTGAGCCGTGTCTATGGAAAAAAGCACGCAGCTGGGCTTGGACAAGTGATTCATTTCATATGGAAATAGGCTTTAAGATTTCCAACCATACATTACCATCCATGCAGACAGAGGCTCACATGCTACATGCTTACACCGGCATTTGGCAGTTACAGTATATTGTATATACAGTGGAGCATTGCCTCTTTCCATATATGCAATCAAACACCTGAAATGCAAAACAGAGATACAGGGTGGCTGGTTTGGTTTAAGATGAAACAGTGAGAGCGCGAGTCACACACAAGACTGGTGAGGAAAACAGGGGCACCAGATGTTCTTTGATGTTTATAATAGCATATATTATTAATATTAATTAGACCACATAGTCAATGACGCATTTGGGACGTTTCCAAGTCAATTAAGCCAAATGGCATTCAGGAGACGGTGGAACAATATTTCAAGGCAGGTGTTCAGAACTCCCTGGGTAAATCTTTTTATCTGCATGCTAGGAAAACAAGCATTTTGAGCTTAATTTGAGCCTCATATCTGCAATAATAATTAAAAAGAGGATTAAAAGACAGAAGTGGCAGGGAGATGGAAAAGCCAACAGGTAATCAGTTTAGACAAACCAGTCAGACCGACTGTGATCTCTGACTAGGAGCTGAATTTGTGAATCCCGACACAGGACTTAGTCAGATAAGGACCTGTTTAGTTAAAAGATGCTTTTACTGTCAGCAGTCACAGAGAATAGGCTGGTGTAACTGTAACAGTAAAATGAAAAGTGATATCCTGTGCAGCAGCCTGCTTTATCTGTGTTTCTGGGTAAACCGCTGCTCATATTACCATTCACAGTTTTATAGACGCTCATCATTTCAGGCTCTCTTGGCTCTTACAGTAAAAAGTAGCATAAAAGCAGGCAATAAGGGACAAAACACATGTGGGGACATCATTACATGGTGTCTGCCCATTGACCTTGAGGTTAAGCATATTGAATGGGACTAATTAATAACTGTCAGAGCATTTTAGGTTTGTTGAGCATGTTTTTTTTTATTATTATTCTGAGCTGGAAACTAACAGATCCAATGTAGGTCAGAGGCCTGAAGCATGCACCCTTCATTAGTTTATTATTTCAAGAGTCATTATTCTTAATCTCAGATTATAATTAAAGTCAAAGTGCATTTTCAGATCTGTCATGATTAGATATTGAGAGAAGTAATTCATAACACACGCCTTCTATTGAAATCAAAGCATGAGTTCTAATTTAAAACGCTGGGTATTTGCAGTTAAAAATCTAAATCCAGCACTGTATCTGGATGTATCACAGAAGAACTGAGGCCGTCTCTCTCGCTCTTTCTCGCTCTCTGACAACCATGACTGTACTATATTTGCTATCCATATTGAGAACATCAATAACTTCATGACCACCACAGGCTGACTATGAATAATGCAGCCAGTAATTCTGGACTAATCAATGTTCCTCAAGCTGAACATCTGGCAGTGGTAATTCTTCCTCAGCATCTCCTCTCCTCTCTCCTGAATTAGTTCCCCCACCCCCAGCCACTGAGACAGACAGACTTGATCAGTTACAACCCCCCACCTCCAAAAAAACTTATCCCTGTTATTAAACCCTCATCAAGTGGTGCGTGTTCTCCATATGTGTAGGATTTACCTATCTGTCCCGCAGCAGACCTGTGTGTTGAGCCAGGGCCAGCAGCGTGTGATTGTGTTAATTAATCTGTCATTGTGAGCGCAGGGAGCAGCTGCAGAGGTCTCTGGGATATATTGTCAGAGCTAAACAATGCGGTGCTAAGCCCCCAGAGTGAGTCTACCATTACACAGGACTAAGAACAGAGAGGAGAGGAGGCGAGGAGGAGAGAGAGCCTGCCGGATCCATCACTGACTAAAGCAATGACGCCTGACCTTTACGATGAATTAGTTTCCATGCTTAATATTGACTGAAATTAGAGTCTGATACTGAATGTGCCATCCCAGAACTGTGTGCACTCAAATCCTCAGCTAGCCAGCGATCATAAATGTTTCTGGAAGTGACACCGTATGGTGTTAAGAGATAGGGGAGAGGAAGGAAAGTAAAAACAACAGAGCTTGAATATTTTTCTTAAAGAGCAACCAGAGAGGGATTTGCCCATAAACTGTGATATGTAAATACGTAGATACCAGAATGTGTGTACAATATGAAAACAAAGCATCTAATGAGATTAGACCTGATCCATTTATCTCTGCTATACGGCCATCATTTAAGAGGATACTGGATCAAGTCCTGCAAGAGTGCATCAGTCTTACACGTACATAACACCAGTACTCCAGCACTGGAAGAAAAATAACTGTACTCATAACCTATGAAGAAAGAGAACAAAACTATGGATTTATTTTTCTTCGCTTCTCTTAACAACACTGTTGTAGCAGTAATTTAGGTTCACGATAACATGCTAGCAGGATGCCATGACAAAAAAGGCATTTACCCAGAGAGCCAAATCATCCAAATCACCAGGTGGAACAGAAGACTATCAATAAAAATACCAGGTGGTAGATCAAATCATAAAAATCACTAGGTGGTATATATCAAATCATTAAAAACACCAGATGGCATGCATTAACATCTTGTGCCCCCGTAGGCAAGGGGTGGGGATGTGACAGATATAAAATAGAGAGTACTAATTATCCCTACAATTCAACATGATGCCATTATCTTTAAAAAGAAGACAAAGTCCTTGTGGATGACAGTAATGTCTGTGGTGGTGTTACTGACCCTGCACTAAATGTCCACCTACAGTAAGTGGGGAAAAAGGATGAGGCCACTTAGATATTGTTGTTTTTTGAAAAAGGAAACCTATACAAAGATGTGCTAATTTGATCCTTTGTTGTGATTTTCTACACTGATTTTAATGCACTAATGATGTCTGTCGGTTTCTGTCCTTTCAGTCAGAAATAATTTGGATTCTCATACTAGAAACATGTAATCTAACAAAAAACAGAACAAATACTAGTAATGCACTCCAGCAATTGGTGTACCACCTATCTATCTATCTATCTATCTATCTATCTATTTATTCATAAAGTTCCTACCTGAACTTTTTCACATGCTGGGGTGTACTTCTAATCTCAAGTAAACTGAACTTAAAATCTTCATAAAATCTTTGGAGTGCCCCTTTACTGTATGTGCTTTCTGTGACTGCGTTACCTATACCTGGAGAAGACGACTGTGGTCGATGGTCCAGTGCACTGCCAGAGTGGGAGCTCCCCGTCTCTCTGATCATCTCTGTTGGCCCATGATGACTCATGCTGCCTGGGCTACCAGGTCTGCTGCTGGCCTTGGTGTCTGGGTCACCAAGACACACTTTCCCATCATCTAGAGGGAGACATCTCTCAGGCAGGTAGGTGGAGCACTGCTGCTGGGCTTTAGGACTAAACATTTGCCGTTCTACAGGCAGCCCTGATGCCATGATCTGCCAGCCTTGGTAGCTGCTGCTGCTGTTGTGTGCCTCTCTGTCAGAGAGGACTTTCTGCAGATATTCCATGCTAGTGGAGCTCAGCGGAGGGTGGAGATGATTTAAAGCCAACAATGCGGAGCTTTCGGAATCTGTCAGAGGGCCTGGAGTAGAGGAAATCATCCTTCCTAACATCTCTCTAACCTTCATGTCAGCACCTGCTGTGGCGAGTATCTGGTTATAATCAGGCTGGTCAGCTCTCTCAGCTGTCAGGAACCTGTTGTGAATACGGGAGATGTACTGAGAGTAGAGGCTGCTCTGATGGTCTGGTGTTAGGTTACTCATGTTAACAGAGGTGTCATCAGGGAGATTACTCTTAGCAGCCAGCTTATTGAGGTGGACCTTCATGTGGTTCTTGAGAAACCAGGGTTCTTTGAAACGACGACCACAAATTTGACAGCAGTGCTCAAAAGAGTCCTTGTGTTTCCTCATGTGACCCTTCAGGAACCAGGCCTGGCTGAAGGTCTGACCACATACCTCACAAGGGAATTCACCAACGGGCTTCCCTTTGTCACCGGCCCCCATAGCAGGCTTTTGTCCTGAGCCTGAATCAGCAGTTATATGTGTTGTCTCAACATGGCCAATGAGCTCCTCCTCGTGTGAGGCAGCAAACTCACACAAGGTGCATTTGTAGGGTTTGTGTAGGATCCTGATGTGGCGCTCGAGCTCCTGCTGCTTTCTGAACTTCCCTTTACAGAATGAACAGCGGAAGCCTGTGGGCTGGGGCTTGATGGACTCATCATGGACTGCGTTCATCTTAGGAGAAGTGGATGCACGGGGCTGGCTCTCTGCCACAGGATTGCTTAAAAACTGAGGCTGCGTCAGGACAGTCTGCATCAGGGGCTTTTGAAGTTGGTTTAATGTAGGCGTTTGCTGTTGACTAACATGACCAGCTCGCATCTGCCTGTCTCTTAGTATCGCCCTTTCCTCAAGTTCGTGAAGCAATCTGTTCTCCTCTCTAATCCTCCCACGACCTTTACCCAGAATGCCTTGCTTGTGCGTACGGAGGTGTATCTTCAGGTTGCCCTTCTGTGCAGCCCTGTGATCACAGTATGGGCACTTGAAGGGCTTCTCACCAGTGTGTGTGCGCATGTGAAGGGAAAGGATGCTGTTAAAGCGGAACCGCTTTCCACACAACGGGCAGGGATACTTCCTGTTCTTACGGTTGTCATCCTGGGCAGAACTTACCTGGGAGACAATGCTTTGACTCGTGACTCTCAAGAACTGGGAAAGCTCTACTCTCCCATTCATACTGCTGAGAATCCTTGCATCCATGATTTGATTGGCCAGAAGCGCCATCTGGCTCCTAATTGGATGGGTGGATGGGGTAATGAAGCTGTCCTTTCAGGGACTGGCTGATGTTACAGTATAGTGGTCAAGGGTGTTTATGTGGGATAGTCCAAAGATTAGCAGTGAACTGTATGCTGACTGTTTGCACCTACTCAGTTGAAACAGGATGTGGACTCATGCTGTTCAGATAAAATATCTGTTTGTTGAAGCTCAGACCTAAAGAGAAAACAAAAGAAACATTGAGTGAATTCCAGTTCTGCCAAAACAAATAAAGTATTCACATGCATTCACTGCCAGCTCAAAAAGCCCAAGAACAGGTGGGGAAAATGTCAGTATGCTGTTAATTAAGGAGGTAAAGCTGTACTTTTGCAACTCCTGTATAATGCCAGTGATGCACCACAAATAGGTCAGGAAATAGAGCAAAGTAGGTTCTGACTCTCTTCATCCTGTGTTAAGTATATCTGTGGTTTTACATTATTGTTTGAGCCTGTGAACATGCTGATTAAGTCAAACCACAAAGGCTTTCTCAACAGTTATCTCTTCATTACCAAAGGGTAAAGTGAAAATCTTTGTCTAGATCTCATTTTGTACTGACACACAATACTAAGGCAGCTCAAACATCAAAGACTCGTCCTTCCTTTGCATTTGTTGATGATTTTTTTAAGAGAGATTCAAGTAAAAGCTTTTTCAGCTGCTCAGTTGCATATTTGAATAAAACTTTTACCAGGATAATGATATCATAGAAGTACTAACAGAAATAAATGAATGATGCAAAAATGCTAACTAAAGGTAAAGAAAGAGTATCCAAACAGGAAGCTAAACTTCACTTCACTTCTGTCCTGCCACCACCCCCCCCACCCCTTTTTTGTTGATTCAACTGTAGCAACAAAACAAAGCTTCAAATTCACATCGTGCTACAATGGTAGAGGTCACATAAGCAAGCCCTGCACAGCTTTAGTGCAGCACCAAAGGGCACAGAACAAAACCAGCACTGTCCACAATGAATTAACACAGGGTTACATCATCCCCGGACTGCAACCTCAGTCACTCATGAAAATGATGTACACAAAACCACACAGATAAAAAGCTGGCAGGCTGGCAGCAGTGGTCGGTGCGAACAGTGTCTCTACTTTAAGCCGTGGATCAGAAATCAGTGGAACCATATGATACCTTATCATATCTGACAGGAAAAAGTGAATAAATTATATTAGCATCCAGTAGAGCCACTTCATATTTTAAAATCTTTGCGGTCAGAGCAGTGGGGAGAGCAAACAAAGTTCCCCTAACCTCCCACCCACTTTTAAGGATTACTGTCATTTGAACTATTATTGCATTTGCCTCTATTAATGTCATTATTCTACTGTAACCTCGGATCTGTAATGGAGTACAGAGTATCCATGAAGTCGGCATCCAATCAATAATGATTGATCAGACTCAAGTTCAAATGGATTTTGCAACATCTCATGAAAATAACTATTGTATATGTGCATGCATTTGTTTAATTAAGCAGCTCACGTAGCTGGGTGTCAGATCTAGCTAGCTGAAAGCATGAGTGAGGCAACTAAACACAACCTTATTCAGAGTCAAGTCACTGGATTTAATGTAACTAAAGGCCTCCCAAATAAAATGTCTGACAGTGAGACTGAGCCACCTGCTGCTGCTGCTGTCTATAGTCCATGGCAACCTCAGTCAGTCATGAAAACGTTGTACACAAAACCACACAGAAAAAAAGCCGGGGTGTCTGCAGCCCTAGCCAGAGTGAGCAGGATGTCTACTCTGAGCTGAGATCAATCTAAGGATATGGGCCTGACCTAATCATATCTGACAGGTAGAAAGTGAGCGAATGATATTAGCATACACTAGATCCACTTCATATTTGCTAAAGTGTTATTCCTCTGATTAACTAAGCATAGTGAGGAGGCATAAAACCTCGTGCGTGCTTGCTGGTGTGTGTGTGGGTTATGTAGGAACTGGTGGAGATGTGGAGCGGCATGTGGGACCATCAGGTGTTTTCTCTGTCAGAGTGGATTAGGCTCTTTTGGTGCAGATTGAGAAAGTGCTTGAGTGTTATTAAGCACTGTGTCACAGTAGCGCCTCTTAGGTGTGGCCACGCATAGATGAACAAGGAGCAGGTGCGATTTAGCACAGGCAATAAAAGGGAAAAAAAAGTGACACATACACATTTAAACCAGTCATAGGAGCTGTGCATTCTGGATGATTTTAGATCTGATGATATCAAACATTGTGAGATTTATTTTTACTGCTGTCGAGCTCAGGATTCTAAATTTCAGTGTTTAATCTACAAGATGGTGAATGTATAATCATTTTACTTTGCAGCTGCAGCATATTGTCAGTTAGGATGGATGGACAATATTGTAAATCCATAATGAGGTGACACTGGAATGAAACACACGAATGTAATTTATAGATCAGAACTGCATATTTCATATTTCTTTTTAACAGCAGTTAAAAAGCATTAATAATTTATGTTGATGCTTGAGCTGTACTATGAATGCACCACAAACATAAGCCTTCAACCAACAGTTATAGTGATCCATATACTGTAACCTAAGATTAAGATAGTGTATAAGCATCCATCCATTATCTCTACCGTTTATTCCTGAATAGGGTCGCGGGGGGGTAGGTCGCCAGTCTATCACAGGGCTGACACTTAGAGACAAACAACCACACACACTCACACTCGCTCCTACGGGTAATTTAGAGTCACCAATCAACCTAAGCTGCATGTCTTTGGACTGTGGGAGGAGGTTGGAGTACCCAGAGAGAACCCACGTAGACGTAGGCTGAGGGAGGACATCCAAACTCCACATAGAAAGGCCCTGGGTCAGCTAGGGCTCAAACCTGGAACCTTCTCGCTGTGAGGCGACAGCGCTGCCATTTGAAATACATAAATAAACAAATAAATCAAACCCTAATCTAGTGAGCAGTTTGATGTGTATTCACTACATACAGTATCTGATGGATGCCTGGTGGTAAACATGACTATTAACAGTCTTAAAGATCTATAGCATAATATTTGTGTATGTACAGTATACTGAGATGATTTAAGAGTGTCAAGTGAAAAGTCTTTGACAAAACCATGAAATATTATATGCATAGATGGTCAAAAATGGAAAAGACTGTTCAATTTTTATGTGGTTAAACTTGCTAACTTCTCAAAAGCCTGGAAATTGAGGGGAACTGATTATTTAGCCAATATTTGTTCTGATTTCTCTCTTTTTCTGTAATCTCTTTAATTCTGGACTTACACTATGTGGATGTTGTCTGAAAATTTTTGCACAGCGTTTGTAGATCTGGCTTACATGGATTTGTGGTGTCTTGTAAGCCCACGCAGGCTGGGCACAGTTGTATGCATGTCAGTAATTAAAACTTTATCCATTCATAAAATTTTAGATACGATAGTATTACATTTCAGTGAATACACATCTAATGATACTCTCTCTTACAGATATCCATACAGCATATACACTATAGAGTGTGATGTTAATTATCTGCTGATGTCCCAGATTCTTTGCAACATGCCTCTGCCTACTTCAAAATCAAATATGACAAGAGATCGTGGCTTTAAAAATTCCTGGAATTCCGTGACTTCCTAGCCTGCAGAACACAAGTGTTTTATTCATTATTGCAGAGTAGGCTTATGAGCTCCATGCCATATATTATGCCCCTGTGCCTCTCTCTCCACCCATGCATACACCCACCAAATCAGCCAGCCAACCATCCTGTGGACAGGGGATGAAGAGCCAGTACAAGGAAGAGGGCAGTGGTTCCACAGCTGCATACCATGACCTGTACAAAAGATAGCACCCATATACTTTCTGACAGCCAGATTAATGAAAGCCTATAGGAGCTTCTCTGTAGGCCCCCCAAAAGCCTGACGGAGACAGAATAGTCTAACCAGCCCCATTCATTACTGCGGGAGTACAGAGCACAGAAAGAGCACACACAGCACTGACAAACAAGCTCCTTGTGAGTAATAGCTAAAGGACTCATAAAGGAATACATACACATTTGTTGTGGATGCAGTAAATCTATGCCACTCCTTTTACAACTATCAAAAATCTGGCTTGTGCCCTATAAAAATAAATGTGGCATGCATGTGGCGCAGAGATGATGTGCAGTTATTTGGGAGTCAGCTCTTTCACGTGTTCACTGAAAGGAGACTTTCGATTAATTTTGTTTGTCTCATTCAGTAACGTAGATTAGTGGCCTTGAATGCAACAGAGGGAAAATAGATTCCTCTGGCAACACACTAAAAGCTACAGGATATAGCAACTGCAAATCAGACTGAAAACAGCAGGCTTGCTTAGTAGTGACCCGCTGTGTTTGTACCTGTATGAGTTGGTGGAAAACCTTCCTCTTGAATGTCAATACCTTTAATTCACTACAAGTATTTCAAATGATAATCTGCTCACAAAACACATGCAGAAGGTGAAGATGTGAACATGTAAATGTAAAGTGAGTGTACTGCAGGAAATAAGCAGTACTGTGACCTCATTACAATGTGTGTATGTGTGTGATAAATAAACTTTGCATTCATTAGCTTCCTCCGATGCTTTCAATGGTTTTCACATACAACACAGAGCAAGGACATATAAACACCTCAACTCCTCATCATCATACAAAGACATCCACTCTCTCACGCTGTCTCTCATACACATGCACACACAAACGCGCACATGCAGACAGGCACGTGCATATAGAATGTATTTTAAATCACTAATGTGTAAACAGTTGCTCTTGTTTGCACAGACCACCTGTTCTTTCTGGACACAAACAAAGCTTTTGGCGTAGGACAGGGTGTGTTAACAGTGTGGGGTGCGTAGGGAATGCCTTCCACAGGAGAAGTCTATCCACATGGTGTAGGCTGCATCAGATGGTTGGGCCCTGCAGGATGGCAGCCAGCTTCAACAGAACACACACACAGATCTCAAAGAATGGAGCTTCTTCAGTCTGTAACATACTGACATGTTTTGCTTTCTCAAAAAGTACAACTTCCCCCCCGGCGCAAAGATTGCCAATCCAGGCTGTTG